TTTGGTAAAAAATAAAATAAAATGTGTATATTAATAAATTTAAATATTTAATGGGAAATATTGAATAAAATAAAAATTAATTAATTTGAATTAAGAACACATTAAAAAATTATAATCAATATGTAATCTAATACCAAATTTTTATTAAATACCTTTCTTCTTTTGACGACTAAAGTTAAAATCCCTTTTTGTTTTTTGGGCCAAAACAGATGTCTGCCTTTTAGAAAATCAGGCCACAGAATAATGGCCTTTATTACAAGGCCACGTCAAAATATACTCTGTTTTATGTCTTTCCTTTTTCTTTTCTTTTTTGTTATTTGTTGGAATTATTTCCTTTTTCTTCTCTATCGTTTTCCTCGTCCTTCCTTTGTTTTTTCGAGTCTATGTTTATTGACATCAATTTCATCTGTGTTCTTATCCTTGGTTCAATTTTTATGTGTTTTTATTTTCATTTTTTTGCTTCGTTTTTTTATTACAAAGAATACTTACTCTATATTAAGGAGAATGTGAAGAATTTGAATCTGGAATAATCTACACTTATTTGAAATTAAAAGGGAATGAGAAGAGTTTGAACCGAAGACACAAAAAGGAAAGGTCTAACCACCAAAGTAAATAATCCACCACTTGCATTGCTTGGTTCGATTTAAAACCATTGAACCAGTCTTAAAAATAAAAATAAAAATATTTAGATGTAAAATGCTGAGATTGAAACCTTGTCGTCCATTTTGAAAATAACTGAAATATGTAGCGTGTAAAATGCAATTAGCACAAATTTCTTTACTTCCCTTTTTTCATCATAAATTAAATAAATTTATTATTATTCCTAAAGTATTGAGTCATGATTTCGAAAGGTTTTTCTCAAAAGTGTAAAGTTGTTGAGAGTTCAAGGGGACCATTTTTCATATGCCTGCGGATATATGAATAAAAAACAGATGAACTTTCTTATGTAGACTTATGCAGGGGCATTAGTACTGTTGGCCTTGCTTTGAGTTAATATGGAGATACATGAATGCATAATAAGGAATCTTGTCACTTAACAAGGAATTTTGTCACTTTTTAGGTAATCATGAAAGTTGATATTCCACAAGTCTTTTGACGATTTATTTCCAAAAGTCCTTACTGAAAGCAAAATACATGATATACATCAGGGCAATCATATTCATGCTACAGTTTGACAAATGTTCCATTCTCTAAAAAATATGATTGGAATATAATATGTTGTATGAATTCAAACATATGTTATATGAATTCAACATATTCTTACTAATCTGGATAGCCGAAAGTCACTGATAGATGTTATTATTCGGTTTGTGGATAATCCTACAACTTTGAATTAGAATGGTTTCTAATGATGTAAAACTAGATTAATTTGATTAGTCAAATTATCCACTGCCAGCTTTAGTTGGAACCTATAAGATCACACACAATAGAATGATATCGAAAAATAAAATTGATGAAGGTTGAATTTGATATAAATGGTTTATACTATGTTTTTTGTTTTTCTATTAACTGGTTTGGTCTTCTATCTGTTGGCTAATGAACTAAAATAAAATAAAGAAGATTAGTCTTAAGGGAAAGAGGATCAAATTGTCCAATGCCAAATTTAGAGAGAAGGGAATTATATTTTATAATTTAGAGAAATTAAAAAAAAAAAAAAGCACCACACAACACTACCCTTGCTGCCACACTTATTGGAGAAGAAGGACCTAGCAGTTCGTCGTCTTCATGCTTCACTAATTGGAGATTTATTCATGTGGATACTAGTAGAGGGCTAACACTTGAGAGCCACAATAAATAATTCATTCATATGAAATTTAAATGTTGGAATTCTCAACTAATTTAAGTTTATGCACATGTTCGTAAATTGTTTTACATGAAAACAAGCATGTTGATTAACCTAGACCACGTTGATTAATTTAATAAGATTAAATGGAATCCAAAGTTTCATTAACCATGCATGTAAATTGGATTATATATGCTTACATCATATTGCCACGCTTCCGTACACATGGACTAAAGTAATCGACAACCCAATAGGTTCTCTATGCCATGTATCGATATCTAGTTGACCAAGATGTGTCATCAATTGGATGAAGGACAAAATTATTCTGATGATATTATTTAATTAATAATGTCTTGGGATTATCTCGTAGAATTCTTTATTGGATTTGATTGTAATTTCTTGCTTCATTGAGTTGGTCTTCAATAAGGAAAGCTTAAAGATAGGATATTAGTTATAAATTAATTTTATCTTTTACTTCTTTTGAATTTTCTCCTTGGCATGAGCAGAGGAGCTTGAAGAAATTGTAGTTAGCAATTCAAGTCTAAACTGCAAGCAGAACGAATGTGTGCTTTGCTAATTTAATAAGGACATTCTTGTCAATTGCAGATGAAAATTCACGTGTCAGTTTCAAATAAAAATTGAATTATTTTCGCTCCACACCGGCTTGTCCTTGCTTTGAGTTACGTCAGTGAGGACATGTTATGTGAATGTGCTAGCTTGTACGTGCCCTAGTAATATTGTGACATTCATCTTGTCCATGCCTCGAGTTAGTTCAGCTCGGCAAGGGCATGTGTGATGCAGTACTACTGATGAGTACTTCTTGTATTGTTACCAAACCTGTACGATTTATTTTTTCATGAGATACCCTCGATTTACAATTGTTTTTTCTCTACATATATACGTAGTATGTTTTCGTATATATATGGTTATACTTAACAAAGGTTAGTATGTATAGAGAGAGTAATGCTAGTTAGATCAAATTTGTAGACAAAACTTGGTAAACTAAATGACATGAAAGTTGATGATTTGATTATTATTTAAACATTGTTCAACGTGCTCATTTCTATTGGTAACATATTATTTAGTTTGTAAATTCTGTATGCAAATTTAGTTTCCCTATCATTACACAAAAAGAAATATTTGTTGGCCTGGCAATCAAGTTGGGGATCTCTCAGTCCTTGATTTGTTGTAGGCATGCCAATTTGCAGCCTCAAGCCAAGCACGTAAGGACTGTAGTTGCGCTTTGATCTAACTTGTTTCAAATACGAATATGACCAAGAAAGGAACATGTCTTGATCAAAGGTTTCTCCGCGACTTATGTGTAAGGACCTTGAAAGACGTTCTTAATCTTCAACTATAGTCTTTTGACGCGATGGGTGAATTCAAATGTTCTTTTGATTGACGAGAAATCGTTAAATTTGAGACACTTGCATGTGATGGATATGATAAATATTAAATGAATTTTTGTTTATCGATGGTTCGATAGGGTAATGTGAGTGTGTATGGTGAATTGCATCAATCCAAAGGAACTATTCGTGGGGATTGGTTTTGATAATTATAAACTAAAGTAAAAAACTGAAAATAAATCTGAATTACAGAATTAAAATACTAAATTAACTACCTGAGAAACTAAATTTTAAACTACTACATTGAGGTACTGAATAAACAAAAACTAAACGATAAGAACAATAAACAAATAAAAAGATAAATTTACCTAGTGTAGAATGGAAAGCTAGAACGATAGAATAAAAAGTGCAGTCACCATAACAAATGGCCTTAAAGATTCAATTAATGTCCCTTGTACAATCTTCTTTGTCTTGACTGTTTCCATCAATCTTGAGTTGTCTTGAAATACTGGCTAAAGCCCTCACTATCCAGATTTGGATTCGGTTACAATGAGTTGTTTCTTATTATTGCACCCGAATTTCCTAAACAATAATACACAAAGCGAAGGGGATTAAAATACCCCAGGAAATTACTAACAGAAATAATCTCATCGACGCCGCCATATTGTCTTGGTTTCATTAGACCAAGTTGGATAAGTGACCGCACCAACCAGTTCTAGCGATCTGACACGTTTCCAAACCATCAAGCAACATGAACACGTGTCGGACATGCATTTGCTTAAAGCAACACGTAACTCCTCCTGTCATCTCCGCAAACCTTGTCATGGTCACGAAATGCCTGGTAACCAAGCCTTCGAGTTACTTTAATTAAAATCAAGACCCCTATAAAACCAAGCCCTAGTATCCTCCAAACAACCACAACTCAAAAATTCACTAAACCGATAGATCTTCGGAAGCTTTGAATTGATCCACTTTGTCCTTGTTTGTACAATTCTCCTGTTTTGAATTTAGACATTAACTAGAAAGTGCTACCCGCGCGATGCTGCGGGATTATGATATGTTATAGTAAAAACATATGAAAGATCATGTATCTAATGGTCGTGGAGCTAATAATCATGCACTTCACACTGAACACCTAAATGTCATCAAACCAATGTAAACTTTTATTTAACTAAGTTCTTAGCACTTCAGTTCAATCTTAAGTTAAAAAGAGTAGTTCAATTGTCTAAAATTACACAAAGGAAGGGAGAAAGACAGAACAAACAGTTGCAGAAAAGTGTATAGTGACATTGATCCTGCAAGTTAAATATGAAAAATGTTCAAAAGAATGTAAAAGCTCAAATTATCCCTAGCATGAGTAGGTTAACGATGAAAAAACCAAATTTGTATTAGTTTATATTGCTTAACACTTCAGCAAGAAAAAATGGAAAGAAAAAAATATTTTTAAACTACACATGTAACACAAATGTAACATGCGTACAACCATCAGCCCACACCCAAGGTAAACTACACATACTGGCATAACTCTTACACCCTAAGAAACATGTTATTAACATATTAGTCTCAATACATCATATTTGCTACTATCATTTTCAGGAGTCATGTGGTTTTCCATGAGTTGTGAAGCATTTATATACAAAGTGAGATTTGCCAATACCTCCAGATATTTCCAAGTGTGCGCTAGTGTATTTTTTCCTTTGAAACATGCAATTTTTTTTTTACCTGTATTATTCCCACCATTAACCAAAAAGGAAGGAAAATTTGACAAAAGAAGCTATCTTAATACCTTTCAGAAAAATTATCAACCACAAAATAAGCACTGCATTTTGAGCCTATGAAAAGAAGAATAACCCAAAATACATTCACGATTATTACCTGACACTTTCTAACTTTCTCTAAAACATTCTGCTTTGTCAATCCCTTTTCTCTTGCCTGCCTAAATATAAAAATAAATAAATCAATTTCTTGTGAAAATTCAATAATTATGTAAAAGAGCATGTGATTATTTTGAAAGCAGTTGAGGTGGGTTCTATAGCAAGGAATAATTTGAAGCATATCAAAGTTAATAAGTTCTAAGAGGGGTGAAAAAAAACTTAGCAAAGAGAAAAGGTATTGAATGACCAATAATAAGAATTTGGTCACCTTATTTGATCAATGTCAATGATCCTGAAGTGAGTGTCAAGTACATTTAAATTTGCATAGAACAAAGCTTGAGAAACACACATCTGTGAATGATAAGAATAATTAATGTTGGACTTTTTTTTTCTGCTAAATGGAATGGTGATCATTTGATTCAGTAATTACAAATATCAACACATTTGTAAGTAAAAACTTTTAAGAGTGTAGACAAAGCGTTTAAAATTTATTGAAATACAATGTGAATTCGGTGTACTTATAAAGAATATAATGACTGCCAGAACTATAAACATAATCAGAATTTTGGAAAGGAAATTATCAAACAGCCAAAATTAAGTCCACAAATGGTGTACTACGCAAAAGATGAAAGCTTTACCAAATACCCAAAAGTTAAAAAACAAACACACAGGGAAAAAAGAAGAAGAAGAAGGTGAAAATACCTTTTATAAGATCTTGAGCTCCTCACACGCGTTCCACTTCATCTTCTTGATGGCATAGAAATCTCCATTAATGAAACCTTTATACACGGACCCTTTAATCAAGCTACTCTCTCTGAACCCATTTGTGGCCTCTCCCAACTTTTCAATCCCAAACACCCTGTACTTGTCCAAGCAATCCATTATAAATTGTCATAACAAAACATCGATTCCACGAAAAATTAAAAAATTCCTACTTTTAAACAGAACAATCCTCACCCACAGCTTCAAAGGTGTTTTGTAAACCTCTCAGCACATCTTTCCAAATTGGATTCCTCACCTCCATCCTCTGCTACCTAACCTGAGCAATCCATGTTATATATATAAATAAGGAATTTTAAAATATTATAGCTGAAAATCAATTACATACAACTTTTCTTTAAACACTCTTTAAATGAAGAAAAGAAAACTAACCTCTTGTAGAAGTGATGAGAAGGAATGAAGAACCAAAACACCACCTGTTCAAAAATACAAAAATGAAAAATCAAAATGCAGAACAAAAAAAAACAGCAATCTTCACAACTATGTGCAAAATAGCGAATTTGTGTTATCATCATACTATCCTCACCATTATCAGTATCACTACCACCTACAATTCCTTGCTCGCCGATTTCAAATCACTCTAATTCTCATCCCATTTAACGGGTTTTGAATTGCTACTAACTTCTACAATTCTCAAATCACAAAATTCCAATAAGGGCATATGCCGAAACACCAAAAAAATCCATACAGTGATCATTTAAGGATTGACATACAAAAAAAATCCATAATTCAAACTTTAAAATGTAGAACAGACAAAGAAAACCCAAAGTTAATCATGGCCATTTTTCTTTTAAATTCCGGACAAAAATCAAACCACAGATAATCAGAACAACCAAACCCAAAAATTTGCCAAAAAAATAACCTGAACAACAATAAAATTAATTAGTCTAAACCTTAAACAGCAGCCATATCCCTTCCTCAACAATTTTTAAATTTTAATTAAAACACAAAAAATATTATAAAAAGGTTAAAGAGAAATAATATAACCGTAGCCATATCCATTCGTCGACAATCTTTCAATTTTAGTTAAAACACAAAAAGTATTAAAAAAAAAACTCTTAAAGATAAGTTATATTCTCCAGAAAGCATTTGCAAACTCCCACAACAAAACCCTAAAATTGGAAGATATAGGTTTGCGGCAGCCAAAAACGAAATTAGACAAAAGATCCACATGCAAATCAGCAAAAAAAATAAAGAGAACACTTAGCAAGAATCGAATTTTACAACAACCAATTGAAAATTTTTCTTACCGACCAAAGCAGCCAAACCGTTGCGATTCCTCCGCGGAAAACAGCGGAAAAAAAAACAGTCCAACCACCCTTCTAAACGATCGGATCGCGATGAAAACAGCGAGACACACACAGAAACACAGACAAACACAAAGAGAGACGGAAAAGCTGAGAGAAGAAAAGAAGAGGAAAGAGAGAAATGAAAGATGCTTCCAGCATCTTCCCTAGATAAGCCGGCATCCACGCACGCGCAGCACGTATCATGAAGGGCAAAATGGATAATTTACTGCACAATCCCACCAAAACCGAAGAACCATGAAGAAAATGAGACGAAACCGGAATGGCACTGTTAATGAACAGTGCTTTTCCACCGGCTTTTAGTATATATAGAATCTGTAGCAATGGCTGGTGGAATTCCAATATGCGTGCAGTGTGGGACTAGGAGCAACCCGTGCAGGTGCAAGGTGGTGGGGCCAACCCTAGGGTTTTTGGCCTTTATTGGAGCTGCCATTGTGGAGTGGCCTGTTGGGGCTCTTGTTTACTGCTTCAGGCACGTGAAGGGTCGCAGAATCATGGCTCATCCGGCAACCGTTGTTTACCCATCGGTCAATAGGGCCATTCCTGTTTGATCAGTGTTTCTGGAAAAGATAGAGCCTTGGTGTTGCTGTTTCTTGATTAACTTGCTTTGAATAAGTAATATTAAGCATTTTGTGTCTGCAATTTCAATCTCCTTACTTATCTAATAAAACAGTGTATGGTTTATTTGTATTTCCTGGATTTTATATTGAGAGTTATCATTTTGTGCACAATGCTATCTATCTGAAACTTTTTATGATCATTACCTGCAGGTTGTGTTTCATAGGTAGTCTTCTCTTCGAGAAACTGCTATAATCTAAAATAATTGCACATGAGAAATAACGAGGGAAGTAAAACTGTATTAGAAAACTGCTATTTGATTAGCTCCAGAATGTGTATTGCTTTGTTCACCAAACAAACTCAATCTTATTCGTAACACAGCGCACATGATTCAAAAAGATTTTTTTTTTTTTCTTTTCGTCAAGCATGTCACATTGTACAGGGAAGTTGATTTTTGTTACGTCCGTCGTATACAAGTGCTTCAATCAGAACTTTCGGTGCGGAATTATTTGGCGATGATGTAAGAATAAACTAGTCTTACCATATTTCATATTTTAGTACCACTTGACGTGTAAACACCAAGTTGATATATTAGTCGTTTTACCCGCATTACAGAGAAAGAAATTAAAAAAAAAAAATGAAAAAAAAAATAAAAAATAAAAAAACTCGCCAAACAGAAAGGTATTTTCGGGTCAAAGCTGTTTTCGTCGTCATAATTTTTAGCTAACACAAATTCATTGGAAAAGATTAGTAGAGCAGTGTCCGTTGCTCAACACAAATTCGTCAGAAAAGATTAGGAGAGCAAAGTCGGAAAAGATTAGGAGAGCAGAGTCCGTTGCTCAACACAAATTCGTCGGAAAAGATTAGTAGAGCAAAGTCTGTCGCTCAAAGTCATATCCGACGTAATTGTAATTTGCCCGTTCATTGGAAGAAACAGAGCCGACCAATAAACTCGTCAAGTAAGAGTGTGTTGGCTATATTCATCTAACGAAGTTATCTCGTCAGAGAAGAATATTTCGTCAGTCTGCATAAAATTAAATAATGTTATAAATTTGACCCGACGAAAAAGTCGTCGGGCCAATTCTATGAAATCAAATTATAAAATGATATAATGTTTGCTTGATGAAACAGTTGGTTGGGTAAATTTTTTAAATTTTTTTTAGATAATGTTGAAAAAATAATATAATCGATGACAATAATAAATTTTTTTAGGATAAATCTCAGTTTATTACCTTTAAGTTTCGTGGTTTTTAACATTTAGTACATAAATTTTTTTTCGTCCCAGAGTCATACCTAAAGTGTTAATTTTGCGATAGTCTCATACATTCGTTAGTCTGGCTAGTAAGTCTCCTGTTAACTGATGATGTGGTGCCCATGTGGACAATGACTGGGCGCCACATGTCATTAAGGGGTCCACGTGGAAATTAAAAAATTTAAAAAAAGACCAAAATTTAAAAATTCAAAATTTAGAATGGGATCAGTTAAAAGTGAAAACCACTTTTTACTTGAAGCCTACACCCCCAGAAATCTTGATCCCCTATCTCCGTCTGAAACCCTACCAATTCGCCGTCGCTCAACCTCGCCTTCACTCCGCCTCGTCGTCAGTCCAACTCGCTGTCGGTCGCACGCCGTTGTACGTTGCGCACACGTTTATGGGCAAGGTTATCGTGAAGCCATTGCTGGCGATGAGGTGGCAAAAAAGGAGGATTGAAGTAGCTGAAACACCAGTTTATTGTAAGTAACCTACCTTTTTTGAAGTGTAGATAATATGGGTTTAGGTTTTCCGATTTTTCAATTTTGAATTTTAGGGATTTGTGAGTTCCAATCCCATTTTTTTCCTATGGTTTCTGGAATTGTGTTTTGTAGTGGGTTTCTTGCATTGTTAATTGTTTTCAATGTGCATGTGGTTTTGTTTTCATTCGTGGTCTCAATTACAGCCTTTAAAAAACCCTATATTCATGGTTCCCATGGTTTTGTTATTCACCTTTTGTCCTCATGGTCCTATAAGTTAGTGATTTGGGTTAACTTTTTGGGTTTTATAACATTTTTCCTTGACTTTGCAGGCATGCCTGAATTATTTACCCTTAAAATTAACTACGGTGGGAAGTGGTCTAAAAATGCATATACGGGAGGGTTTGAGGCTTGATTTGATTACATAGACAAAGACTTCATGTCTTTTTTCGAGATTGATGAAATGGTTAAGTAGTTAGGATATGACGACAGGTTTATCTTGTATCATTATAGGATTCCTGGGATGTCTTATAGGGAGATTAAGTCTTATTGAACGGGACCAAGATGTGGGTAAAATGTATAAGTATGTTCTAGGGACTAGGGAAATAGAAATGTACCTAGAACATCTAAGTCTGAAGAACGTTACCATGAAACATAAGCTTTTGATGAATCTAGATGAAAGTGGCATATTAAAAAAAGGTGTCACTATAGAAGATATTGAGGAATTGAGGTTGTCAATTTCGATTACAAAGGGAAGTGGATTAAAACTAAAGAAGGGTAGAGCAAAAGAGGGTGTTGATCACTTAGAAAAACGGCTATGTCTTTTGAATGACATAGGCTACAATGGTGATGATGAACTGAGGGAGGACAGGGAAGTGGAGATGAGGCTGAAGATGGTCCTCTCAATGCTGATAATGAATGCGATGAAGGTGAAGAAGGTTACGAAGCTGAAGAAGTTAATGAAGGGGCTAAACTAGAAGCTAATGAAGGTAAAATTTTTGAAACATTTATTTTTGCAATTTTAATTTCTATATTAAATTATTTTTGCAAAGTTTAGGTTTTTAACAAATATGCATAGTTTGTGGCAGTAAATGCAGGGGATGACACTACTGATAGTGAGTTTGTGGATAGTGACTGCAGTTTGGAAGATGATGATCGTCGTGCAGTAGATGATATGGTTGTAGACACTGTGATTGGAGATGCTGAAAGGGGTGAAGGGGTTGGGAAACAACATCTAGAAGAAATTATTGATGCAAATGATGTAGAAGACGTTCCACTTGATGATGAGAGAGAAGACTCAGATGGCCTACACAATGTTAACGATTCAAGTTCAGAATGTGATGAGAAGGTCATCTACCTTAAGTTCAATGAAGAAGCCAACAAGGATGAACTAAACTTTGAAAAAGGATTAAAGTTCAAAGATGTTGTACAGTTGAGAGAGGCAGTGTGGTCTCACTCCATTAAGCATGGTGCACTTTTTATTAAGCTAAAAAGGAATGAGAAATGGAAGATTAGTGCAAAGTGTGAGAAAAACTATCCATGGAAATTCTATGCTTCCAGGATGTATAATGAAGATTCAATGCAAGTGAAAACTTATATTGGGAAACATGAATGTCCGAGGATTTGGAGGGAAAATCTTAACTGCAAAGTGGCATGGCTTGTGAAAAGGTATATGGACAAGTTCAGACTCAACCCAAGCATGCCCATCACTACATTTATGGAGACAGTGAAGGAGGAAAGAATGGTTGGGATCCACCTGAAGACAGCCTATAGAGTGAGAGCATAGTGTTTGAAAATCCTTGAGGGGAGTAACGTGGATCAGTACACAAAGTTATGGGGGTACTATGATGAGCTTAGGAGGGTAAACCTTGGTAGTACAGTTAAGATGAAGGTGATGCCCTATGATGATGCTCATGTGATATTTCAAAAGATTTATATTTGTTTGGGGGCTTGCATAAATGGATTTAAGAATGGATGTAGGCAGCTTGTAGGGTTGGATGGTTGTCACTTGAAATGAATGTTCAATGGCAAGTTACTATCTACAATAGGAATGGATGCAAATAACCAAACTTGGGTTATTGCATATGCCATAGTAGAGCTTGAGAACAAGGACAATTGGGTTTAGTTTTTGGAACTGCTAGTTGCTAACTTGGGAATTGTGAACCAGCGTGGTTTGGACTTTCATTTATGACAAACAAAAGGGTTTAATAC